TCTATCTATCTATCTGTCTGTCTGTCGTTCTGTCTATCGTTCTGTCTGTCGTTCTGTCTATCACTGTCATTCTGTTTATCATGCTGTCATTCTGTCTGTCTATCTGTATTTCTATCTGTCTGTCGTTCTGTCTATCATTCTGTCTGTTGTTCTGTCTATCTGTCTGTCTGTCTGTCTGTCTGTTGTTCTGTCTAACATTATGTCTATCTGCTATTCTATCTAACATTCTGTCTGTCGGTCAGTCTATCTACCACTCTGTCATTCTGTCTTGTCATTTTGTCACTCTGTCTGACATTCTGCCTGTCTGTCGTTCTATCTGTCACTCTATCACTCTGTCTAATGTTCTGTCTGTCTGTTGTTCTCTGTCTGTCGTTCTATCTATCACTCTGTCATTCTGTTTATCATGCTGTTGTTCTATCTGTCTGTCGTCTATCACTCTGTCTGTCATTCTATCTGTCTGTCTGTCTGTCTGTCTGTCTGTCTGTCTGTCTATCTGTCTGTCGTTCTGTCTATCGTTCTGTCTGTCGTTCTATCTATCACTCTGTCATTCTGTTTATCATGCTGTCATTCTGTCTGTCTGTCTGTATTTCTATCTATCTGTCTATCTGTCTGTCTATCATTCTGTCTGTCGTTCTGTCTGTCGGTCTATCTATCTATCTATCTATCTATCTATCTATCTATCTATCTATCTATCTATCTATCTATCTATCTATCTATCTATCTGTCTATCGTTCTGTCTGTCTATCGTTCTGTCTGTCTATCGTTCTGTCGGTCTATCATTCTGTCGGTCTATCGTTCTGTCTATCTATCGTTCTGTCTGTCTATCGTTCTATCTATCTATCATTCTCTCTGACTGTCCTTCTGTCCGTTTGTCTGTCTGATCTTCTGTCTGTGGTTCCCAGGGGACGAAGCTGCTGCAGATGTTCATGTGGATCCTGAACCCTCGGCAGGTGTTTGATTTGTCTTAGAATTTACTAATGATAACTTTATTGCATTTATCAATCTAGGTTAATTATTAAATATATTGTTGTTCATTGTTAATTCCTGTTCTTTTATAATACTGATATTTGTTTACACAGCTTGAAATGTTAAATATACTGGTGTGTAAATAGAAATTAACATTAATAAATTAATAAATGCTGTAAAAGTATAGTCTATTGTTAGTTCATGATGCCTAATGCATTAACCGATGATAACGAAGTAAACTTTATTGTAAAGTCTTACCAATATCATTACAAAATGGCTCAGAAATGTGAAGTTAGTTGTGATAAAATGATACTTGTTTTGATATTTTTATCTAATGCAGTGAAATTACTTTTAAATGTGTCTGATGTGTCCAAACACTGTTCAGTGTCTTTAAACAGCTCTTCTGTTTGGATTTGTTAAGCTAAATGGAGTATTCTGTTAATTAGCATGCTAAATGCATCAGTAACACACATCGTTATTGTTTCCCTTTGTCCGTCAGGCTGGAATTATACAGGAAAGTGCCAAATCTTCGCATCCTTGCCTGTGGAGGAGATGGAACGGTAAGATGCAGTGCATGTTGGGATGATCAGATACAGTGGGTATAGAAAAGACTTGGATGTTATAAAATATTACTTGTCTTTCAGTTGGATGTTGGATGATACAGCTGGATAAAACCAAACCTGTGTGTGTCTTCATTTCAGACTGCAAAGCAACAAAATGTGATTATTTTAAAGGGGGGTGATTCTTTTCTATTCCCACTGTATGTGAAGTTTAGACATTTTGGACGCACCCCCCTCTGGTGACAAATGTGTGGAACGACAACGAACACGCAGTGACAAAACACTGTAATTAGCTAATGGTGGCTCTGTGCTTTGCAGTGTCACGCTTTCTTGCGGGTAATTTCTAGATCTATGACTCCTGCGAGATGAAACTTGGATTTCCTGAGCACTATGGCATTTCTGACCCTGAGTTTGAGTGGTTTGTCCTCTTTTGTCTAGGTGGGCTGGATTCTCTCGGCCTTAGATGAACTACAAATGAACCCACAACCTCCTGTAGCTGTGCTTCCTCTTGGTACAGGAAATGACCTTGCCAGGACACTGAACTGGGGAGGGGTGAGTCAACTCATCTTGAATCGTCTTTTAATTAATTGATAAATAAATAATTTTATACCCCAGACATCAGCATTAGTCTGATATGATCGAGCTGCTCTGATTGGCTGAGAAGCTGCTGTAAGTGAGGCACTTGTGTTTTAATCTTTATTCTTAAAATAGTACAAATTTGTCTAAATATTTTAAAAGATATATCTAAATATGTTTTAAAATGTCTACATTTTTATGTAATTAATTTTTTTAAAAGATGTCTAAATATTTTTCAAAAGTATGCCTAATTTTTTTAAAAGCTGTGTCTATATATAATTATTTATTTATTTATTTTCAAAATGTCTAAATATTTTTAAAATATTTTTTCTTAATGTCTTAAAGTTTTAAAGTACATCTTAAATTTTAAAAAAGATGTATCTTATTTTTTTTTAAATATTTAAATGTCTTATTAACTATGAAAATTTCTTTTGATTTTTTTTAAAGATATGTTTAAATATTTTTAAAAATGTCTTACAATTTTTTTAAAAGTACATTTTTTTTAGTTTTTCCTTAAGTGTCAAAATAAATTAAAAGGTACGTCTAAATATACATCTTACTATGTTTTTTTAATATTAAATATTAAAAAAAAATTAAAATGTCTTAATATCTACAAAAAAGTCTATATTTTAAAAAAAGGACATCTTCAGTTTTTAAAAGGATGTTTAATAAAAAAAATTGTGTTAATACCTATAAAAATCTATATATACATTTTTTTTTTTTTAAGTATGTCTTTAATTTTTTTAAGTGATAAATCTAAATAATTTTAAAGTTTTAATATTTAAAAAATCTTAAAAAAAAAAAAAATAAATAAAAAATAATAATTTCCACCCGTGGAATTAAACAGGCTGTTTTTGCTGCAATAAGTTATTTAAAATTGTTAACGGTTGTTTTCCTGAATTTGAATATGTAACATTTGCTGCAGACTTCAAATTCTTATAAACGGACATTAGTCAGATATGATGGGGCTTCTCTGATTGTGCTGTTGGCCAGTTAAGTGATTGTCACTGATGAATGCAGCTCATTATTTTGGATTTATTCTCTGACTGTGTGTCTGGACAAACACTGGCCTTGCAGTCTGGAGTGTCTCTCTGTTTTTTCCCCTGTGTTTCCCATGTCTCAATCTAAAGTCTGTTATTAGCAATGAAGCGGGTTTAATGATTCATATTGACAGTTCTGTGTTTATGCCAGGAGTAAATAGCCTTGTACACACAGTAGTGGTGCTGGGTAAGACCTCTCAGCTCAGCATGATCTCTTGATGTTTCAGGGTTACACAGACGATCCGGTGTCGAAGGTCTTGTGTCAGGTGGAGGACGGGACGGTGGTGCAGCTGGACCGCTGGAATCTGCAGGTGGAGCGATCGGCCGTTCAGCCGGAGGAGGGAACACAGAAGGTGATGGCTGTGTTCAGGCTGACACAGAGACTGGGTTACGTTTATACGCTGCTGATAGATTTGTGTGTCTGTTCTCAGCTTCCTCTAAACGTGTTCAATAACTACTTCAGCCTCGGCTTTGATGCTCACGTCACACTGGAGTTCCACGAGTCCAGAGGTTTGTGACGCTCTGTCCTACCTATGAGCCATTTTATTTGATTTAGTTTATTTTATTAGATGTATTTTATTACCTGTTAGTCAAGGTTTAAATGCAGCGAAAACATTCTTTAATCTTTTAGTTTTCATATTCTTAAAATATAAAAAAGTATAAGTATTTTACATACAAGTACAAAAAAATATTTTTAAAAAACGTCTTAAAAACGTCTTTAAAAGGTATATCGTAATATTTTTTATAAGACGTCTAAATATTTAAAAATTTCTTAATATTTTAGTAAATAGGTTTATATTTATATAAAATACATCTTAATATTATTTAACATTTCTTAATGTCTTAATGTTTAAAAAATATTTTAATTTCTTAATATTTTTTATAAAACATATATTTTTTTAATTCTTATTATTTCCAAAAATTCTTAATAATTTTAAAAGATATATCTTAATATTTTTTAAAAGATGCATGTACATTTTTTTTTTAAATGTCTTTTTAATGCCTTAATATTTTAAATATATTTAAATATTTTTTTATGTCTTAATTTATTTTCTGTAAACATATATATGTTTTAAAAATTGTCTTAATATTTTAGTTTTTGTTGACCATTTCCCACCCTTAGAATTAAAGAAGCTGTTTTTGAAATTAAAATTAAAAAGTAAAATAGTTATTCCTTTCCTTTCCTTTCCTGATTTTAATTTTGAATCATTTTGTACATTTAATTATATTACTTATAAACAAATGGATGCATTAAATATGTTAATGAGGATAGCAAATTATTATTTAAATGCAGTGAACCTTTAACTGCATTAACGTCACAGTCAGTATTTTTAAAATGTCATTTTTTATAGATATTTTGTTTTCTTAGGGAATGTATAAATATATTACTGAACCTTTATATGTAAATTCAGTATTTCTGAATTGAAATATGTAACATTTGCTGCAGATTGAATTTAATAATGTAACCTAATGATTCGCCATTTACTAAACTAATATTGGCATTTAATATAATGTGAATGTGTCTAGTTTTAAAATTCCATTTAACACAAATTTAAATGTTTGATTATTTGCTATTTAAAAAGGTAACTATATTACTTGAACTGGATGGATGTTGAATATGTTAATGAGGATAGCAAAATGATCATTTAGATGTAGTTTACCTTTAAATGCATTACACAGACAATACATTTCAACTTGCAATTGCATAGATATTCTGTGTTTCTATTAAGTATACAAATAAAAAATATGCCAGTTCTCTTTCAAAACATGTTTTTCTGTCAAGCTTGGTACATTGGAAATGTGTCTGGGTTGAAGGTCAGCACAAAACGGCTAATAATGGACTTTTATCAAACACATTAGTTGTGTACTTAGTGCCAAGAAAAAACAGTTCTGTACAAATGATTACTGTAATATTTTTCCCAGAACAGTGTTGAAATGTTGAGCTTGAAAAGGTCAGTTATAATAAGTGTGACTATAATGAAATACTGATGAAGACTGTAAGAGAAACGTCTGACTTACATGATGTCACTTCCTCAAAGATGATTTCAGAAAGATCAAACTAAGTTTTAAACTATCCATGAGGGGAAATGTCACAGAATAATAGAGTCGGACAGGGAAAAATGTAATTCAGCACATTGCATAGAACATTAAAAACTATATAGACTGCAAGCATTTATTTATATATTTTATAGCATTAATTTTATATTTTTTTAATTGAATTGAATTATATATGTGTGTGTGTGTATATATATATATGTATTTTTTTCTTACTTTATTTACCTCTTAATATAAGTGTTACGGGGCAAATGAGACATGAGACTTGCGGATCCGTTTGCAAAGCTTTAATAGGAGACAGAGACGTGGTCATAAAACAGGCATGGGTCAGACAATGGCAAACAGGTATACTGAGGGCAAGGCAGAAGAGTAATCCAAAACGGGCGTGGTCGATAAGCGGCTAACAATATCCAGAGGGCTTGACATGAGGGGTAATCCAATAACACGAGCTAGACTCCAGGCGAGGTGCAAACACAGTCCGAAACAGCAGGCAAAGGGTTAACTTAAGATAAACAGGCAAAAATCAGGTACCAGGAATTCAGAAAACATGACGAGACGAGACTAGACTAAGTCTAGGAACTAGAAACTAACACAGGGGAAAAGGCTCCGTAAAGTAGCAATCACACGATAAGCGCTAAACAATACTCGGCAGTTTGAAAGGGATCAGAGTGAGTGTTATATAGTGAATGTGGGATTGGTTACAGCTGTGTGGAATCAGTGCAATGGATGATGGGATATGTAGTCCGGGATGACATGCAACAGTGTGTGTAGTGCGAGAGTCAATGTAATGGAAGGGTGACCTCTGGTGGTGAGTGAATTGAAGTTCATAGACCGGATTCGTGACAATAAGTGATGAATAGGGTCATGCAAACTGGATGAAAACGAAGATTTGAAAAGTATTTAATTATTTATTAATTTATTTTATGGAACAGAATTCGATTTTTAAATAATTTTAACCATTTGAAATATAATCGTAATGTATAAGGTGATGCAATCTGGATAAAAACAAATATAACATTTTTTATTTATTGTTGTTGTTTTTTTTTTTACTTTATTGAAACATTGAAATATAATGGCAGTGAACAGCACCATGCAAACGGTATAAAAACATTTAAAATACATTAGTTTTTTATAAAAAAATTTAAATAGATGTTTTTTTCACATTATTTAACCCTTTTAAATGTTATAGTGATGAATAGGGTCATGCAAACTAAAAATCAAATTAAGCTTTTAGTTGATGCTCATTCGCATTACACGTTAATCACAGTTGAATCTTTCAAATAATGTCAAAAAGTTCAATAATTAGTTAATTATATCAGTAGTAAGTTATGAGGATATTTCCTGACTGTCTGTGGGTTTTATGTTGAAAGCTTTAAACATGTCTTCAGCACTGCCTGTCTTTATTCACCTCATTAACCTGCTGTCTGCAGGTACTGTGCTGGTACCATGCCGTGGGGCAACACGGGCGACCACAGAGACTTCGAGCCTCAGAGGCACGACGACGGCTGCGTCGAGGTGATCGGCTTCACCATGGCCTCACTGGTGAGCGCTTCAGCTCTTTCTGTGAGACTGAGAATGAAATGTTGGGCTCATGACTCACATGCATCCCGTCTTTACCACAAGGCGGCGCTGCAGGTGGGCGGCCACGGCGAGCGGCTGCATCAGTGCAGAGAGGTGGTCCTCACCACCTTCAAGACGCTGCCGGTGCAGGTGGATGGAGAGCCGTGCCGCCTCGCGCCCTCCACCCTCCGCATATCTCTGAGAAACCAGGCCAACATGCTGCAGAAGAGCAAGAGACGCACGTCTGTGCCGCTGCTCAACGAGTGAGTCCCTCAAATATACTCCTGCACCGGTGCAAAATACATGAGGTTTAAAATGCTTGTGAGAGCTTCTTAGACAAGGTTTTGTTTTTGGTTTCTTTTTTTTTTTTTTTTCATTTTACTACATGATATTTGACAGCCTGAACCAACTTTTGTTCTGTCATTACAAGGTCAAATTGTCTGATATTTAGAGACTTGATGACCTTGACATCCGTGAGGGTCTACAGGGGTCGTGTCAGTCATATTTATTTTTCTATTGTTTTCTTGTCACAAAAAAACTTCCCCAATGGCTACAAAAGTGTCATATTAAAAAAAGCTGAAATAATAATATACAATATATTTAAATAATAAGCAATAATAGATGAAAAGTTTGAGGTTGGTAAGATTTTTTTTTAAACGGTCATGCTGCTTAATATTTTTGTAAAAGTATATTAGAAAATTCTACAGCATTTATTTGAAATGGAAATATTTAACTTTACGATTACATTAGTATTAGTACATAGTATTACTTTAGTAACATTGGTATTTTTTATACTGTATATATTTCATATACAGTGGGTACGAAAAGTATTCAGATTATTTAAATTTTTCACTCTTTGTTATATTGCAGCCATTTGCTAAAATCATTTAAGTACATTTTTGGTGGACAAAATTTTTTGCCCCCACAAAAGTATCTAAAAGACATTTTTATTCAAAAATGAAACACATTTTTATCATAAAAGAGGTGTAGGTGTGTGAAGTCTTCATGTGTATACAGTAAATTATATTTTGAATGCTTTTTGAATAAGTTAATAGATCCAGACACACAAAATGCACATCACTTACAGTTGATCTCAGAATGAGGGTTTCCCCCTCAAACACACACACAGATGAGAGTGTGTAACTAACAGTCTAACAGTGTGTGTGCGGCTCGTGTGTGCTTGACTGGTGAATGTTCTAGTAACAGCACTAATCCATGTGTGCTGATTCTGCTCTCTGTGCCGCTCTCAGTGGGGTTTTCTTTCTTTGTCTCCATCTCTCTTTCTCCTTCAAATAACCGGTTGCCCTTCACGCGTTTGTCTGTCATCTCCGTCCCTCTCCGCCTCCATCTCTCTCTCTCTCTCTGTCTCTGTGCTGACTGGCTTGGCTGTGCTGCCTGTGTTCCTGTGTGGCTGCGCTGATGCAGCATTCAGAAAGTGTGCGCTGCTGACCTGCGCCGCCTCTCTGCTCCCCCCGACTCCTTCTCTGTGTAAGTACGCTATCTCTCAGCATCCCTCCAGCACACACACACACACACAGGTGTGTAACAGAGCGTGTGTGTATCTGTGTGAGTCGAGGGCTCTCACTCGTGAGTGTTTTGTGTTTTTCGCTCAGCTCACAGTCAACATGAAATCAAAACTGACCCTTAATACACGTTTCTGGTCTTATTGTACACAAATCAGTCCAATAAAGGGTTTGTATTCATAATCAGATTTTATATAATATAAATGTAATATAATTTATATATTTTAATTAAATAAAATGATTCATTTACTTGTTAAATTATATATATATATATATATATAATTAAATAATATATAATTAATTCAATATATATAGTAACATATAGATAATATATGTATATAATTAAATGTAATTACATGTATATAATTATATTTTATTAGATATAATTATATTGTATGTTTTTATAATTTAAAAAAATTAAGTAATAAATAAATAAATATATTGAATTAAAAATATAAAATCTAAAAAATATTTAAAAATATACAAAATCAAAAAATATATAATTTTTTAATTACAATTAAAGATATAAAAAAAGAGTTATATTTTATTATTTTATAAATATTTAATAAAATAATAATGATTTTTAATTTATTTTTTCTTTAAAAAAATCATATAAAGTATTAAAATAAAAATAGTAATTGAATTTGTATTCATTAATTTTATTTATTTATTCATTCATTTATTCATTTATGTTTGTCTATACCAGCATTGTTGACTATATGGACTTCACAGGTGGAAAAATAATGCTAATCATTAACCAAACAGCTATTTAAGCATTTTAAATGCTTTATAAAATATTGCCGATTACAATACAAAATTACAGAATTTTGCAGGTTACAAAAATAATAGTAAATAATGATTAATTTGAATATGTCATGATTCGTTTAAGGGACAAACATGCTGACTTATATATGGATGACGGATTCGGTCTAAACAGACCAAACGGCCACAAAAAGCATTTTTATGCATTAATGACTTCAGTCCTTCCTGATCTTCACCTGTCCTTTTGTGAAGCTCATTTTCACTCTTCCTCACGCGCTCCTCATCATTTGAGATTAATATTTTGTTTTCATTGTTATTCATTATGAATCAGTATGATCATAAATTGTTTTCATGTAGTTCCTGTGAGCATTATCAGCAAGCAGATTAAACTGAGAAAATGTCTGTTCCAGCTCCAACTTTGTTGATTAGATATTTCATAAATGTGGCGTCAGTTCTCATTTGTTGTCGTCTGCGTATCGCAGCCCTCATGCCGTGCCTGAACGTCTGCGTTTGCGCGTGAACCGCATCGTCCTGCAGGAGTACGAGAGCATGCAGCTCGACAAGGAGCGTCTGCGTGACATCTGTAAGCTAATCCTGACGTTTCCTACCGTTCAGTTCACATATCATAATACAGTGCTGCTGTAAGAGAGGTGAATATATGAAGTGACTGTGTGACTGTGTGTGTGTGTGTGTGTGTGCTTGTTCAGCTACTCCTGTTGGCATTGTGGTGGTGAGAGGAGACTGTGACCTGGAAACCTGTCGACTGTACATTGACAGACTGCAGGAGGTGAGCACTGAATATAACCTCAAATGTAACAATAGTTCTGTCGCCATCATGTTATAAATTCATGTACTCACTCATTTGTCTTCTGTTGGCAGGATTTGCATCAGCCACCCTCTAGCGGTCACAGAGTACACTACCAGGTAAATGCCTCAACACGGTTGGATGAACTTAAGCACACATAATTTAATTGGAATGACATGACATGGAATTTACTGAATTGCAATTCAAAGAAATTCGTCAAATTCACAGAGAAGAGATTAATTATATTAATTGTTGATCAAAATAATTGTCTAAATATTTCAACAAAATGTCCAAATAAATAATAAAAATGAATATTCACATTACTATTTAAATCTATAAATTTTGTAATAACTTAATAGAAATATATATTTAAAATATCCACATCAGAATTTTTATCTTTTAATTTTGTAATGATAATTTAATACAAATATATATATAAAAAAATTCATATCAGAATATAAATCAATTAATATTATAATGATAACATAATAAAATAAATATAAAAAACATTCACATCAGAATTTTAAATATAAATTTTGTAATTATAACATAATAAAAAAGAAAATATTCACATCAGAATTTAAATCTGGTCATTTTGTACCAACTAAAATTGAATTCACGTTAAAATTTGAATGTAGTAATCATGTAATATTTTGAGTAAATTAGAGCATAGTGTTAATGAAGTAGTCTTCTGCTGTGGTCAACAAAATAAAAGTTAATTTATTAAATATAGCGATATATAAATAAATGATACCCCATGTGTTGTGTGTTTCCAGGTGATTGAAACTGAAAATAAAATGCATATACAATGTACAATGAAAACTCCACTTCGAGTGTTTGTGTGTGTTGTTGCTGTGTTTTGTCAGGATGAGAGCGCCGGTCTGCCGCGGCCCAGTTCAGCACACAGACTTTCACCCAGCTGGAGCTTCCTAGACTGTGAGTCTCTTCATTTGTACTGTAAGATGAGACCTACTCTATGTGAGTACACACTTCTGGATAGTTTAACCATTGGCATGTTTATTCTGTTTCCAGCTACATCAGCTGACCGCTTTTATCGCATAGACAAGGCTCAGGTATGATTATCATACTGTTAAACAATTTGCATAAAAATGAAAAAAGATATCGGGAAGCTGTATAATATGCACTGGTAATGTGTGTACAAACAGGAGCACCTGCACTTCGTGACCGAAATATGCCAGGATGAGGTTTTCATCCTGGACCACGAGGCTCCAGCGGTGAGCCAGGTCTGGGTCCCTGGAATGCCAGATGTGGTGGTGGAGCCCAGTTCTGGGTGAGATTCATCAGTACCTTGTTTTTCTGTTCATTCCTGACCGTTTTATACCTCATGCGCCATGTAATTGCATAACAAAGCTTTTTATTTTAGCTGTGGTTTCCTCATTACAGGGCTTCCCTGACCGCAGACGAACAAGGTAAAGTACAAACACAAATATTTCTTTGAAGTGGTGGAGAGATAGGAGACGGTTTAGAAATGGAGCAGGTTTTCTTTAGAGGTTAATGTTTCCTGTCAAAAGTCATGTGATAAACCCATTGGTCATATTCTCAGAAATTACCACATGCTACATTATGCATGATCGTTGCTTATTGTTTTGAAAAATCTCAACCTTTGTCCAGCTCTCCTGTCGGCTGCTGATAAAGGAGACATGGAGGTGGTAAGATTTTTACATTTCCTTGTTTTATGAATTGAAAGTGAAAGAGTGAAAGGTGACTGAACAGGATGAAGCAAAAGCACTTGCATAACTAGTTTGTTTTCTGATTAAAAATCCCCATGCATTGTCCCTCATCCTGACTCGTGATCTGTCCCGGGTTTCACAGGTGTCAGGCTCCTGCACCAGTGGGGTCAGTCTGTTGGTGCGGGACTCTATGGGCTGCAACGCTCTGCACCTGGCCGCCCAACACGGCCACAGGGAGATCGTGAGTTTTATTCTGGAGCAAGGCGAGTGAGAGACGAGCCCGTAGACACGCACACTCCTGTGTTTGTGTACGCAAAGTCCACAGTTTCTTTGTCACATGCTCAGCTGGCATAGAAGGGACGTTTTTGTGTGCAAGTTACAATCCCATGACAAACCAAAACCAAAAGCAGTTTAGAGTAAATAACTGTTCCTAAATATATAAGGGACACAAAACAAATCAAATCTAAATGAATCACATCGCATGAAATCAAATCAAATCCAATCAAAATGAATCAAACCACATGAAATGAATTAAATTAAATCAAATCAAATCCAAATGAATCGAGTCAAATGAAATCAAATCCAATTAAATCAATGTATTTTATTTGTATAGAGTATTCAAAAATATTTTGTATAGAGTATTTCCATTTTTAAATGTCAATATAAATGTTTACATTTCTTAGATGTCCAAATACTTTTTGGTCATCTATCTGTCTGTCTGTCTGTCTGTCTGTCTGTCATCTATCTATCTATCTGTCTGTCTGTCATCTATCTATCTATACACACACACACACACATGAAGTGACATTTTTACGTGTCATATATATTATGTATATTATAAAATTATATATATATATATATATATATATATAATTTTGAAATGAATTATTCAATTAAATAGTATTACTAATATTAATACTATTTTATAAAACTATATATTATATACAAGTATAATTTCTTGTCACTCACATTATAGTGTTATGATATCAAAATTCTGTTTCTTTCAGGGTCAAAACTGATGTTGGATTTAACTGACAGAGACACGTATGTAGCCATGGTTTGATGTATTTATTTGTGTATTAGTGGTGTAAGCTGGCATTTCATTTGTCCTCATTTCCTTTTTTCAGAGGCGACACCGCATTGCACAAAGCAGCGTCTCAGCAGCATGTGGAGGTGTGCAGATGTCTGCTGGAGGCCGGGGCTTCCCTCAGCAAAACTAACTTCCTAGTGAGAATCTGCTTGTTTCCTCTTTGTTTTCACACATGGTGTGAGAAATAGTTGTGTATAACCACACCTCAGTAGTCAGATTTATGTCACATTGTCCTTTTCAGGGAAAAACTCCCAAGGATTGTGCCCTGGATGCCGGGAACTCAGAGTTGACGTCCCTCATGGAGAGCCAGCCGGTGGAGGAGCCGGAGGCGCACGAGGATCTGGAGACGGCGGTATGAACGGGCTCATGAGTCAGAGTCAGGAAGATTTTTACCCACAGAAAGTGGCTGTCGGCACTCCTCCAAGCATCTGCTCGCACCCGCAGAGACAGAACGGGAGAGCATGAGAGAAGAAAGACAAAGAGGGAGGTGAATCGAGAGTGCCTCGGGCTGAGAGAGTCCTCGGGATCGTGTTTTTCCACTAATGTCGCTGTGGGGTTTTAGCATTTATTTATTGCTCTTATTTATTATAACTATTTATTCAAAGATGGATTGGGTTTTGTTGCATCACAGGTTAGTTTTAGAGACAAAAGACGTTTAAACATGCCAGAGATTGAAGCTTTCATGCATCATGTTGTGTGCCAAAGACACACAGAGAGGAAGAACATCAACTGAAGGAAGATACTGAAAAGAGTTTGATTAAAGGAGGATCTTCTTCAGAGAGTTTTTACGATTGGACACAATCATTGCAGAGATTTTAAACTCAAACCACAGACTTTTCACATTTTGTTTGTGTGCTGTTACAGTGGCGTGATTGTGAAATTACCTTACAACGGCGAGAGAAGATCTGAGCCAAATTCAGTGCAATATGAATGGATGACATTTGTGCATTTATCTATTTAATATTACATTACATTAATGTTTCAAGACAAGCAAAGGAACGGATGTGTTTTTCCATTGATAGCAGCTGATTGGTTTCTGAAATGCCAAGTTGCTGATCATAAGGTTGCGTTTGACAGAAGAATGACTGAGCAAATGAGTTAAACGTGGTATTTCGAACATATACTTAGTCCATCATTCATGACGGGAAATGCCCAGCGACGTGTCTGCATGAAAAGCGGATCACGCTGAGCCGTCGTGAGAGCCATTTAGAGTGATCTGCTGTGTTATCTTGTATCATTTTAAAGCATTATTGTGCATGGGAATTTTTGTTACCTCTCTGGATGTTTCTACCCCTCAGTGATTATGTAATGAAATGGCATTATTTCTTTTTGTAATTTTAAGTTATATGAAAAATATGAAATTGTTCAGTGGTTGTATTTAGTTTTTTTTAATCTTTTAAAAGATGGGACAGCTTGAATGTTTTAGATTTGTTTTTCACATTTCTAAATATCCATTTTAGGTGTGTATGAGGTCAGTGTAGATGTGATGGAGATGTGACAGATATGATGGTGCACGATCTCAAAACTGGGAATGTTTATCATTAAAGGCAGTCGGATGGAAAGCACCAGTGTTGTGTGTTTACTGGACAGTCATAACCCTGAAGTTACAGCTAGAGAAGTTAAAATGCTTTAAATAACATGCAGTGTTTCCACTCTAGTATGAACATTTACTTTATTCATTCTCCCCGAAGGACCGTGCTTTTTACAGTGTAGTGTCCCTGTCACTATACTGGGGCATTAGGGCCCACACAGACTGCAGGGTGAGTACTTACTACTGGCATCACTAACACTTCTTCCAGCAGCAACATAGTTTTCCCAGGAGGTCTCCCATCCGGGTACTGACCAGGCTCAATCCTGCTTAGCTTCAGTGGGCAACCAGTCTTGGGCTACAGGGGGATGATATGGCTATGGCACATGAAAGCATAAGAATGTATTTATAGGTGGACCATGACCTGTGTACTAACAGTACCAAACAGAAACGGTTCATATAAATCAGGTCATTGTGCAGTCACAGCTGTTTGGTCTATTAATTTCAGACGAAAATCAATGACTCAGTGTGGCGAATGGAGTTTCTGTTGAATCATTTACTTTGACTCTGAGTCACCGCGGAGTGATGACGCGTCAGTTTGGCTCCGCCTTCTGTGCGTAAAAGTCTCGAGCCTTCGGTCACATCAGACACAACACGGAGTCATGTAAGTGTTTCAACTTTCATTATATTTACTAACCAAGAGAAAATTGTAATACTGACCGTCTCAGACTGTGGTGTTGTTTTCTTAAATATGATCGGGTAAATTAGGTTGACACTTCCGTGACTTCGGATAGGCGTGTTTCTATGTAGAAATATGTCGAGAACTTCCAAAACATCAAGTCGTGCGTGCGCTTTGTGTCTAAACTCCTGGAGATGTCGGAGACTGAAGAACAATGAAACGAATGAGGGCTGCTGAACATGCCCTTACACATTCACTCATTATTACACTGTGACATCGAGCACATACTATAGAATGAACTAATGCGTGTCTTTCGTGAATTACGGATTAAATAAAAAATAAGCAATGTTAATAATGCGCTTAAGATCGAGACTTCCGTTGCAAGGGCATTAATGCATGTTTTATTTGGCAAATTGAAGAAATACTGCTTTAAACAACACTTAAAGTGGAATGATGTTTATATGGATAATTTAAAGTTAAACTTATATAGCTAAATTAAACTTGTGGTTGATTATAATTTAGCGTAATAAAAAAATTAAAACTTTTAAATATTGTTTATATATGTATACATTAAATATAAGTGCCCCTATATCCCAATTTACCTGAGTTCACACTGGAGGCAAGTATTATTTATGTACTATTATAGTTTTTATTAATATTTTGAATTTGCTGCTCATTTTTATATTTTACATTTTCAGTTTAGTTAAATTAGTAGTCATTTTGTTATGTGCTTTTGTCTTTTTTTTTAAATATATTTTTATTTAGCTTTAGTTTCTTTTTATTTCAGTTAATTTTAGTACTTCAACTTATTTCTAAATTGTATTAAAAAATTTTAAGTTTACATTGTGCATCTAATATATATGTATATATGTATATGTATATGTATGTGTATGTATATATGTATGTGTATATATATGTATATGTATATATATGTGTATGTATATATGTATATGTATGTGTATATATGTATATATACGTGTATATATATATGTATGTGTATATATATGTATATACTTTTATATATATGTTTGGTTTTTTAAATGATGCACTGAATATCCTTATAATATTCTAATGTTCTTGAACTATTAAAAAATTTATTTATTGTAATATTTCCTCATTAAAAAGTTTTACATAGAAATAAATGAATAGGAATTTAAAATATTTAAAGTATATTCATATGAGCTGAAGACTCCAGGCATATCAGTAGCCTAGAAAAAATCAGTTTGATGTGGTGGATTACAATTATTAATTCCGTTTAGTAAATGAAAGAAACACTGAATGCACTTCTACAGTTTAAGTTGCACAAAGCAAGTGTTTTAATGAGGTGTTTGCATATGTGTGCAGGGATCAGCAGCACAGTAACGGTGACGTCCGGACGCCTGCGGCGGACAGTCTGGAGTTCAAACTCCTGATGGCATACACCCGCAAGAGACGACCCACCGACACCCGTCTGCCACAGAACATCCCGTCTTCACCACAGCTGCCTGAAGAACACGGCAAACCAAAGAAAAATAAAAGAAAGAAGAGACTGTCATCTCTCTTAAAGTGTATTAAACCACAGACAGATGATGTGCGTGTACGAGAGCCAGCAACAATTTTCAGTAAGTGTGAAATATTCATCTTAATGTGTGGCTGCTTAGTGTTTTTTAAAACATTCCCTATTGAGGAAGTGAGATTGTAGAGATTCCAGCGTCTGATTTGCTTCCGTCGGTTTCAGGCGATGGGAAAGTGAAGAAGATGGAGAACATGGTCAGTGAGCTGACAGAGCTATCAGAGTCTGTGCACTTCACTCCCTGTGAAATAGAACCGGACGGGGCAGAAGACGAGGAGTCTGGTAAGAGCTCATTCTTCCCATTTGACTTCACGCTCAGATTTCGCTATATTAGCTGTCACCGAGTCCCTTCATTCAGATGTGTTTAGTTCCATCTGAACTGCTCATTTCTGTTCTCTCGGCAGATGTTGCGAGAAAGCTGGCCGAGCTTCTTAGAGAACAAGGTGATGAACTGAATGAAAAGGTCAGTGAATTGAGCTCTCGTGATGGCATTTGATCCTGACCACCAGGTGTCTCTGCAGACACCGTTTCTACCCCAGTCCAAAAGTCTGAGACGCTATTAAGAGAAATTCAAATGCACATTTGAACATTTAGTATTGTAGTGTGTGTGTAAATATATACATAATAGTTATATACAGTTATTATACTGTAATGGTTTAATTCCCCCATACATTAGAATGTGTCCCAGGGCAACAACAAACCATACATTTTATTTTATTGCATTATTATACTGTAAGGATATTCAGTGTAAATGAATTTAATTTAATTAAGTATAATGTAATTTATGACGAGATGTTGCATTTTGGAGTCTGCATCAAATTAAATTCACAAAAGTGATTTTATATACACAGAAAGCATATTCATTAAATGCAAGTAAAGTGTCTACTTTAAAGTTTCAATGAACTTTTTTTGTGAAAATATAGATAACATTTTCCTTCGTCATTGTCTACTTGACTCGCTCTGTCTCAGCATTCACTTCGCGCCTGCGCTGTTGTACGCGGACCGTCCACACGGTCACAAAAATTGGGCACGTCAGACATCAACCCACCCCCATGTCATCATTCATCGTGATGTTTCACTGTAGACATCATCCCGTGCCAGTTTGGCAGACATCGCCCAACCCTACCCTGAATATCCTTATAACATTCTTAAACTATTAAATGTTCTTATTGTGAAAGATGCTTAAATTTAGCCTACAAAACAAATCTGTAGTTATTCAAAAAATGCTTGAATAACTAGAATTGGCTCATGTTAGACCTGAAACAGTTTAGACATTATGTAATGAGTCACAAACAGTAAAAACAACATCTCAACATCACAAACAGACTTACCAACATCTCTTCTCTTATCTCTGAACCTCTTCCGCAGATTAAGGCAGACAAGGTCTTGCTTGAAGCACTGCAGTCCTCGCTCACATACGGCTTCTTCATGAAAGTGATGGAAGCTTTCTGTGGAAGTGTCTCACCAGATGTGCCTCCAGAGCAGAAAGACAAGAAAGTCAATGTGGCTCTGGTCTGTGAAGCCACTAGTCAGCTTGTTGGCATCCATTATCATCCAGTAACCTACGTGATGGGCTTAGGTGCCCGGTATCTACAGGAAACATACTCCACGTGGATTAGCAGAAACATGGATGTAGGCAATGTAAGTGTCACAGTGACGACGCACTTATTCACAACAATGACATCTGGCCTAATAACACATACTTACATTTTTTTCCCTTCACAGGGAGAAGTTGGTGATGAATCCAAAGAGGAAGTCCAGTGAGCAGATGAGATGCTCTCCTCGCATTACAACATCTTTCTCAGGGGCACAGGCACTTTATTAACCTGAAAAAGTGGTTTTGTTTGGTGAACCAGCAAGGATTTCTTGTTTTTGTTCCCCATTACATCCTCATAGCATCCGAGAGTAAAAATAAAGGGGTAGTTCATAGTGCAAAATCTAAAAAAAAAATGCTACGGATACTGCTTCAAAACATGTGCTTTGAAAACCAGCATTATACATGTTTACATGTTTAACGCCACTTTTTGTAATTTAATGTAGCATCCAAATTGTTATTAATTGTTATTTGCCCTTTTGTTAAAACTGTACTTTTGTTTTGAAATTAACATATTTATTTTCTTATCCTTGTACTTTAAAGTGATTAAGAGAATATAAAATGTCTTAATAATGAAATTTGTATGTTTTTTCAATGTTATAATATTAAAATAACTGTGAAAATGTTTAATTTTGTCTTCTTTTTTTTTTTTTACTAGTATGTTGACTCTTCTAATTAAAATGTCATCGATTAATCTCTTGATTAAAGTCTACAATAATTTGATCACCAGCCCAGTGTTTTATATATATATATATTTTTTATATATATATATATATATATATATATATATATATATATTTATTTATTTATTTTCATTTTTAGTTAATTTAGTACAAATGAAACTATTTTTAAATAAAGTAGTTTTTATATAAAAGTTAACGTTAATTTTATTATAGTTTATTAGTTTGATCATATCGAACTTTCTTCTAGTTTTTGTTAACTGTAACAACCCTGCTTCTGGTAATTGATTTGATCTAATAACCACAGGCCGTGGGTGTCTCCCGCATCTTGCGCACAGCTCTGCTCAGGCGAAACATGAGACGCGCTCTGTGCACCTGTCTTACCTGCTCGAGCGCAACACAGCCTGAGACATGTCTCATCGCAAGCCTCCACGAACAGGCTTCTTGGATCTACAGATGTGTGTGTTTCCTCCGGCGCACTAGGTAACACATGATGCATCACAATAGGAAGTACTCACCACCGCGCTACTGCGCTGTCGGGTCACCGCTAGCCCTGCCTCAGCTGAACCGATTACCCATCTTTCGGGTGGAAGAAGCTGAGCTGATGGAGAAGAATTCACCGAAAGCCAAATCCAGAATGCGCAACGCCAAGGTGAAGGCGGTGAGGAGCGCTCCGTCTCCCCAGAGGCCACGCGTCTTTCCAAACCCCGCGCAAAGCGACGCGCTACCGAAGGTGACAGAGAACGGGGCAGCCGGACAGCGGTCTAGAAAGAGGGGCTTCAAACCCCCGGATGTCAGGACGATATTCGAACCTTCGGCCAAAGACCCCCGCGTGAAAGAGGAGAAAGGAGAAGGACACGTGTTTTGTGAGGACGCGACGTACGCTTGGTGCGATGTGTGTTGCTCGTATATTTTTCACGGTGGCTTGACATGTACAGGTGAGAACTTTTATTTTTATTATATTATTACACGATTATATTATATTATTAGTCTGGACAAGGTCGATTCATCACCATATTGTGATGTTCATCAAGACACTTGATGCTGCTCCTGTAGTTAAAAAGTAGGTAGGTAAATAAAAATCATTACATTATAATATTTCATAAGAACATCATAAACTCTATGCATGTTCTTGAGATTCCTCACACACCACACACTCATTTACAGGCATGCTGACAGACTGGTTCGGCCTTGTAAATTCATTGTGTTGCACCTTGTTTACCCACAATTACTTTACTTGTCACAAATATGACTAATAATTATACATGACAATGCAAATAGCTAAGTGTAATCGTAATTCATTTGATCAAATCCAGGTCTCAAATTCTATAGAAACTGATCATTTGCAGGTGAAATGGTCACTGGCAGTGACGGTTGACGTTTTCATTCCTGCCTGAATGCCTTGCATTGTTCCCAGTAGAGAAAACATTCCTAAAAATCATATGCAAAGCATTATCTGCTTTGCCCTGCAGCCAGATTTTGTATTGTAAATTTTGGCATCCTAAAAAAAGCATGATTATACTGATGGCTAGCAGTGAAAGGGTATTTCTTTGAGTTTTTGATTAAATTAGACCCTGAGACGAATGAATTCATTCTCTTTAATATGGCTGTCTGTCTTGAACTGCCTTTGTGCAGAGGTTGTCCATTCACAAGAGTTGGCTCAAATGGAACAACTGGACAAAGGTAACTTTCACTGAATGTTCTGGCTGCTCGACTCGAGTGATCAGGTAGTTGAGAGCGAGAAAGTCATTGGTTTGACTGATTAGCTGGAAAGCCTTACTAGTCTGTAATTTTGTTATTAGCAAATTTTAAGGGGCCACTTACAGATCCTTGAATATGTGGGCAGAGAAAACATTCACTAACTCATGTTTTCTGTGAGAGTAGTGTCTGTTTTGATGATGTTAAGGTGGATAATGAGTTTGCTTGCTTTGGTTTGGTGGTTGTTAGACTTGTTTAGGTTTGTAGGTGCATTGGTGTGGGTCAGTGGCCTTGTTTACATGCACATGATTAATTGCCATATACTGACATATTTCATTTTCTATAAAACTAAAGACAGCAAGCATATCCCTGTATAAACTGATATTGTGTGGGATGCAAAAGTGTTTTTGTACTCAAAATAATCTGAAATATATTATAAATGTATTTAAAAATAAAATCTAAAATATTAGCTGAAAAATGTAAGCTTAAAATTTTTTCGAAATAAATAAGTTGAAGTCGAAGTACTAAAATTACTAAAACTGAAATAAAAATAAACTAAAGCTAATTAGAAACAAAAGCTAATAAAAGTGACAAAAGCATATTTTAATTATTAATAAAAAATTAATTATAATTAATTGAAAAATATAAAAATAAAAGCTAATTCAAAATATTAGTAAATACTATAATAGTACATAAATAATACTAAAATAACACTAGAATGACTAAAACTCACTCAGTAACACACTGTTCATTTGCATATATACAAACAAGTATTATGAAAAATGGTAAAAGTACATTCATAAACATGTTTATTCAGAATATGCCGATTACATGTACAGTATACAGGAATATTCCAATAGCAATGAAGCATACTAATGCAATATACTGTACATGCTGTTTAATTTTAAATTGGAAAGTGCATGAAACGTGGTCACTGACAGTTTCCTCCTTGTATATCTTGTGTTTTTTGCCACCTGTAACATCAGCAATGGTTGTGATGGAGGTTGCTATTGGTCATAAGGACTTAATGAATCTTTAATGCAGGGAAAGTTAAGCTTTTCGGTCTTTTAACTGGTTTTCACTGTAGCGTCTCTGTATTCTGTGGGATTTCTCTTCACTGCAAATAATAGTCTGTATGTACAGTATACCTAAGCAAAATGAACAAAGATACCTTTTTTCCATCTTTGTGGGTCACGTTCCTTTGGCCCTCTCAGCTAGACTGCATTGTGTGCTGCTATTTGACACCCACCTGTCGGCTCCCCTAATGCCCATCTGTTTGTTTGTGTCATGGCAGTGACAGTGTGTCTAGAGAAGTCACACCGTCCTGTCACAGCACAACCTCGGCTTACAGTGAGCTTCCCCTCAACCAGCTGACGCAGTCGCAGCGGAACCACGGAGGCCACTGAACAACTGCACACACACACACACACACACACACTCACTGGAGCAGGGGGCTCAATGGCAGGAGACCACTAGCGGTGAGTAGTCAGAAGCCACGATGCAGGGAAGACATTTCAGGGGTTGAAGTGAGACTTGGATGTTGCTCTGGTCATGGGTCTGGGGAAAGGCTTTGCAAGAACTTTGAGAAGACTTACTGGAATCCTCTACCGCTTCTCAAAAGCGATGCGGCGCTCCAGGCGACTGGAAGATAGTCTGCTGTGGAAGTCATCCGGTGGGTCCAGATCTCTATGCTTTTTGTAGTTTTATCATTCAGGCAAGTGTAATTTAGATGACGACTTCATACTGATGAGGACAGATATAGTGTCATTTCTTGCACAGACATTACTGACCTTTTTGTCTTTTAATTGTATTTATTTTTTAGCTTTTTTATTATTAGTTTGAATGTAGTCAGCTATTGACATTTGAACTCTTGCTAATACAAAATAGGTATTGATAATCAATCTAGATTTTTACATTTTCTGAAGCATATTGTTTGTGGTTGCTTACTGGCCTAAGTCAAAACAGTCATTCTCCAATGGAAAATATTTTAATAATAAACTTAAACTACACCGGTCTTCATTGCATATGGCAGGGGTTTTCAAGCATGGGGGCTCACAAGGGGACCACGGAAATGTTTAGAGAACAATCATTAAAAAAAACTAATGATAATAATATAATAATTTTAAAATGTTATTATTTAAAAAAAATGTAAACAAGCAAATAAATAAATAAAACTAGCAGTGAAAATTATATTCAAATACATTTTAAAATTATGAAAATAATCTAGCAAATACATAAATAAATATACATAATATTAAAATAAATGTGTAAATAAGTACAGTACTATAATGAGTAATTACAAATGTAATAATGTAACTTAATAGATACTAAATATTTTTAGAAATAATATTTTAGATATATTTAGAATATTAATTTTTCACAGTAGAAATTGGGTCTTTATACAAGAAACTATATACACTGTAAAAACTGGTAACCTGTGATTGTTCGCTTTAACCTATAACATTGTTTTGTTGGTAAAAAAAATTGATGTATAGGTCGATTCAGTGATATTTCTATGCTTTAAATCCAGTTAATTAAGATGTTACCACTTAGGTAATCATCATATTTAGGGATCTGTGGCATCTAAAAGATTGAAAACCTCTGACATGTAGAAGCAATATATTAAGTTTAGTCTTAAACTCAAATGCATTTCCAGTGAATAATAGCTTTAGGATTAAACTGAATCTAAACTGTGATGTTGACCAATGCTGTTTCTGTTACTGTGGCCAGAGATGTTGCAGAGAATGAAGAATGAAATAGAGATTAATTCGGATGTCCTGTCTATTATTCAGCACATCTGAATGAATAAGTTAACATGGTGCTCATTCATTATCTTCGGCCCTGACACCTGTTGCTCACTAAACAGTCATCATCTACTAGACGGTGATTATGTTGTGGTCTGTCTGTGTGTGGTATCATTGTGTTGATGTTGTGTCGCTGGGGGCCATGGCGTCTCAGTTGATGTAATGTAAACCTCACACTTTTCAGGCACAAATGCAGTGCTAAGTATGCCAAGTAAACCATCTGCTGAAGCACAGAGCTGAGTCTAAACAGCCGACAACTGATGTGGGAAGCGGTTCGCGATAACATGCCGAATAGTTTGCCGGTTTAAGTCATGCAAAAGAATGGAGTGTCTTCGGTCATCATCTACTAGACGGTGATTATGTTGTGGTCTGTCTGTGTGTGGTATCATTGTGTTGATGTTGTGTCGCTGGGGGCCATGGCGTCTCAGTTGATGTAATGTAAACCTCACACTTTTCAGGCACAAATGCAGTGCTAAGTATGCCAAGTAAAACCATCTGCTGAAGCACAGAGCTGAGTCTAAACAGCCGACAACTGATGTGGGAAGCGGTTCGCGATAACATGCCGAATAGTTTGCCGGTTTAAGTCATGCAAAAGAATGGAGTGTCTTCTTGATGTTTTGTCACAGGCAGGTGTTGTTGAGTATGTGTCCTGTCTGCGGTGTGTTGTTTCAGCGGTCCGATCTAATCCCAGCGCCAAGCCGATCTGGAATGGAGACGACAGAATGTGGCTCTGCCTTGAACAGAAAATAACATGAGAAACTCTATTGTTAGTTACCAAAAAAGCACAGACACAGACAGTAAAAAATAGTTATCTGTGATCAAATGAGCAAGGACAGGCTCGGCTACATGTTTAGTCGCCACTGTTAAGTTTCCACAAACAGACTTTGATATGAGAGAGGTATTTGAGGAGGAAATAGTACTGTCAAAAATCAGCAACAGGCGACATAGATGTCATTTTGTTAGTCTGGAGGACATATTTTATCAAACACATTTAAAAGGGTTTACAGATGTTTCAAGATTCAACATAAGCTGCTTCATATTTATTGTGCTCACGCTATATTTTGTGAGGATGGAATAAACATGTGGACAAGTAATAAAAAATGGTGAAAGAATGACACTTCCACCTGTCCAAAACACACATCTGTGAAATAAATCTAGTTAAAAGTAAAAGTAGGGAGAGTGGAAAACAGCCTGGTTGACATTCACAAAGAGCCTGTACTGACGTCAGAAGCCGCATTCTTATTTAATTACAGATTATGTTTTCCTTCTTCCTGGTTGAGTCAATCACAGTTTATGGCTGCATCCCAGTTTGCATACTTCACTATGTATTATAAGTACATACACTTGATCAAAAGTTTTTCGTTTAAAAAAATGAATACTTTTATTCTGTAAGGCTGCATTAAATTGATCGAAAGTGTCAGTAAAGACGCTTATAAAAAACCTTATTTCAAATAAATGCTGTTCTTTGAGCAAGAATCTTGAAAAAAAAAAGTATCATGGTTTCCATTAAAATATGAAGCAGCACAACTGTTTTCAACATTCATAATAATAATAAATGTTTCTTGAGCAGCAAATCAGCACATGAGAATGATTTCTGAAGGATCATGCGACACTGAAGACTGGAGTAATGATGCTGGAAATTCAGCTTTGCTGCACAGGAATAAATTACATTTGAAAATATATTCAAAGAGAAAACCATTACTTTAAATTGTAATGATATTTCACAATATTACTTTTTTTCTGTATTTTGATGGTGAGCATGAAACACTTTAAAATTAAAAAATCTTACCAACCCCAAAATTCCGAACGATAGTGTACTTTAATGGTGATGGGAATGCATTTTTGATTAATGTAGTAAGCCAATATTGGCACATACTCATCATAAAATTATGTCATCATAATTTTCATTGTGGTATATTATTCTCTGTATTATTTAGAATGGATTGTATGTTGGTTTGGATGCTGTGTATATTTTCTTGCTCAAGCATATTATTATTTTATAATAATAGCAAATGCGATGATTTTACTCTGAAATGAACCTTATCAGTATTTTGTGTGAGGGTGGTAAATATTTAGAAAGTGATACAATGCTGTTGTGGGAATCACGCTTTTGTGTTATATGAGCTGTTGGTAATGTGTTTGTGTGGGAAGCGTTTAAGAACTCGAATGACTTGTTCTCTGTCAACATGCAAAGTTTTAGAAACAGAGTCCCAAATATTGCAACGTCACACCACAATCTAAATACGGGACAGTACTGTATTGTGTGTGTGTGTGTGTGTGTGTGTGTGTGTGAAGTTTTGATCCTCGGGCAGGTTCTGATCGATAGCGCCGTCCTTCATTACAGGAAGTGCAATTAAGGAAGAGACAGGCCTGCACTTCCCACCCGCCCCAGAGACTTGAATTGATTGTGTGTGTGTGTGTGGGCATACATTAGCTCAGTTCCTACACAGTCAAGACCGCAGCTCTGTGCAAAGAACGGCACTTTAAACAACCATTACCCATCATGCCCCAGTATAAAAGATCCACTTTCATTACACCCTATCATTGCTCATCCCCTGTGTCATTCTGCTCTCTGCTGATCTTTTAAAAGAGCAGCGTTCCTGCTCCCCAGAGGAATATATTATTGCTCAGAGACGATGGCATCTCAGAGATGTTACATTTAAGCATCAACTTTGTCCTCCTAGATGTCTAAAATTCTTAAGGAGAAATATACAAAGACATATACGAGATAAATGGTAAGTGCTGACATACAGCACAGTAGAGTTATGAAATGAATGTGCTCACATAACTCACATACTTTGGTCTTTAAACAAAAAAATTAATCAAGAAATGTTTGAGTTCATTTTGAGATCTCTTGCTTCTGATTCTGGTAATCTGAGCTCAGCTTGAGATTTCTGAGATCCTTCTTAAAGTCTAGAAGAGAGATGTTTGTGAGTTTACTGGGGACCATGTGCTCTCCATTCAACCGAACTGATGTCTAGCAGAAATATTTAAGATATTAACAAGATCTTATTTGTAATTTCCTTGACTGTTTGAGAGGCTGAAATTCAATTTGGGTATATAAAACGCAGAGAAGCAGAAAGTGGATTAGATACAATGTGCAGGATTTAGATGGCTGTCAGTACAGACCTGAACGTTTACAGGACTGATAAATTAGTGGAGATAAACCAGCTTTGCGAGATCAAAATTGGGCATGTAGTCTTAAATAAAAAATAACAAAATCACAAAAATCAGATTTGTGGTGTTCTGTGCATAAATGTCAGTTCTGAGGTTAACATATAGTAGTGAACTCCTTCAAAAAAGTTGACTTAATTTTCTTTAAACACAAACACACATTCAAAATTTAATCTAGGGTGTTTCAAATTTTTGTTTAATCAAATGCCCTCTAAAATGAGAATTCTATGGCCTGTTTTCTGCTACTAAGTTAAAAATAAAAAAGGTATTTGTGACTTCTTATCTCACAATTCTGACTTTTTTTCCTTGCATTTGTGAGTTTGCACCTCACAATTTTTTCTTTTTTCTTCGACTTTTTTTTCTTAGAATTGCAATATAAACTTGCAGTTGTGTGTTAAAGTAAAAATTGTGAGATATAAACTCGCAATTCTGAGAAAACTTTTTTCCTCAGAACTGGACTTTATAACTCGCAATTGCGATTTTATATCTCACAGTTCTGAGAAAAGAAGTCAGATTACAAGATATAAACTTGCAATTGCAAGATAAAAGTCAGAACTGCGAGTTTATCTCCTAAATCTGACAATTTCTCGAGTTTATCATGTCACCAGTTGCTGTGACGTAAACTAATATGAGAACAGTAATAGTCTAATAATCAGTTTAATAATTCTGAATCTTAAGGGTGATGCATCTAGGGTGTTGATAAAATGCATCTGCATGCATATTTAAACACAAAGTGCTTCCTACATCTCCTGCCATGTACTATATGTGTCCATCATTTGCTGACTGAAGCTTCATCATTTGACAGTCAAATCACCTGACGCAGCACAATGAGAGAGAGAGAGTTACACACAAATGAGTTACCGTGGAGATTGCATGGACGAGAGGCAGATGAGTTTGTCCTTCTGTTCTGAGAGTGAACTGCACAGGATGAGCTCTGTTTCTGACGGGATGCCGTGAGTTAAGCGTTCGAGACAGAAAGCATCATCACTTGTATGCTTGAGTGGGATGGGAGCAGCATTCTGTAAACTTTACGGCAAAATTACCCAGCAAGTCAAGCATCAGTCTGCAGGTAGGTCATAACAGTGACAGGAACTGAAAAAAAATGCACTTTTTTTAGCTAGTGAGAAATGCTTCATGTAATCAACTTTGGATGAATAAGCAAGTGTATGTGCATCATGTCGTCTGTGAACACTGGTGAGGATTGTAAAGCAGAGGATGCTCTTCACTGTAAAAGACTGTAAAAATGCTACAGTAAAAAAACCTGTTAAATGGTTAACGGTAAATTCTCCTACTATATACGGTGAAAAACTGTATTGGACATTACTTGTATTGGACATTAATTTTACAGTAGTATACCATAGTAGTTTCATGTGTGTTACCATGATGGTGTTTGGTGTTTGGTGTTTGTGTGAATGACACTGTGCACCTTCTATATATAAGCTGCTTGTGATGGGCTTTGGTTCATCATGTGACTTTCTCATCACCACCTGCATTTGGGGGTTATCAGTGTATTACAAAGGTACAAAACAGATTTCAGTACTTCAATAGGTTGGTATATTAACATTATATCAGTTCATGAAATTACGGTATTTAACTGTAAATTTAAGTTAAAACCGTAAAACCTAAAACGTTGCTACCGTATTTTTACCGTCAATTTTACAGATTTTTTTTACAGTGTTATTGTCTATCCAATTTTATTAATTATACATCCAGTGCATTTTTGAGATAGATTTGGAATAATTTCAGCATCAGGAAGAATGCATAATTTTCAGTAAAGAAGCTTTCACATGAAATACATAAAATACATGCATGCAAGTTACATAGAAAATAAAGATTATTTTGTGTGTGTTTCCCTCATTAATGTGTGCCATTTTATTTGCAAACCGATATTTTGCTTTCCATTTAGCCTCACAGAAAAACCAACATATTTCAATAAATCTCCTACAGACCGGAACAAATACGATGCACTTTGTTGAGGAGAGTTGTGCTATTACTTTTCTAAAACAATGTGATAAAACCTCAGAAATGCTTTAGAAATGCCCTAGAAGACTCTAGCAACACCCTAAAAAAATTATGTTGTAGCATGTTTTTTTAACTATTTAATTAGTTAATACATAATGTGGAATAACATGGCTGTCTGTTCTTGTTTTCTCTCCTCTAGGTTGTAAATACACGTGTCATGCTCAGTGCCGTGACCAGGTGGCGCTAGACTGTCATCGGAACGGATCCATTAATGGCTGCCCACTCAGCCCTCTTGCTCAGGACCATCTTAACAACAATCAGTCCTCACACAGCGTGAGTACAGAGTTTATTCATGTCTGCTTTCACTTTACAAGCACATTCAGTTCAAGATCTTCGAAATAAGGAAGTTAAAGCGATAGTTCACCCAAAAATGAAAATTCTGTCATCATTTACTCACCCTCAAGTAGTTCCAAACCCGTATAAATTTCTTTGTTCTGCCGAACAGAAAGGGAGATATTTTGAAGAAAGTTTGTAACCAGGCTGTTTTGGGGCACCATTGACTTCCATAGTAGGAGAAAAAAATACTATGGAAGTCAATGGTGCCCCAGAACTGCTCTGTTTCCCACATTCTTCAGAATATCTTCCTTTGTGTTCTGCAGAACAAAGACATTCATACAGGTTTGAAACTACTTGAGGGTGAGTAAATGATGACAGAATTTTCATTTTTGGGTGAACTATCCCTTTAAATGACAACAATCACAGTCATCTGACTGTTAGTGATGGTTAGGTGTGACCACAAGGGGGAGAACCATAGCAGATAAACGTCCTAAACTAGTCTCAATATTGCTGTTAACGTAGCTTGAGCAATGTTATATAAATTTTTGGTTTTGGTACATGTTATTTTAATCTTCATTGGCAGATAACAGATTAACAGTCCTTTAGTACGGCCATTGGCAGACATCATGTGCTGAAGGTTTAAGGGTGTGTTGGTCATAGTTTGCTTATAGTAACTAATTATTGCTTTTCTTTAGTCTTTACTTAGATGCAATGGTGTGATTTAGCTAAAGGATGATGCACTGTTATTTCGCACCATATGAGTGTAAACACACACGCTCATTCCCATTCCACTTGGCTTGGAATATAACAATAGCAGGATATTACTCTTCAGCAGAATTCCTCTGGTCCCCATAGTGTCCAGTTTTGTTCTCATGCGCCTGTGCTGTGAAGACTCTCACCCCCGATGCTCTGTAAACTGTGCGGTATGAATGAAAGATGAGCTGTGTGTGTTTGTGTGTGTGTGACCCAGCGGGGTCAACAGACAGGTTAGTGTGGTATGTGTGCTATTCACACTAATCCAGCTCGGTCAGTTTAGTGCAATGCAGGAAGAGATATTGGAATATGTAAATTGCTGAGTTACTGTGGCTACAGAGTCTAACTGTATTGCGACTGGTTGAAATACAAAACGGATTCAAATGATTTATAAATGGGTGCATTTCATGAAAACTGTCAAGAACATGTCAGCATTTCAAAACAAATGCACCCCAAAATCAAAAATCAAAAATATATTAAAATATCAAAAATCTAAAACATTTTTTGGATCGTGACATTATTTTCATGATGACTGGCCACATTTATTCCCCCAAAAGTACATTAAAGTTAAAGTACATTTGGAAAGTACTTTTAAAGCAATTTGTAAACTGTAGATGCATGCTAGTATTTCTAATCTATTCTGATTTAAATTTTATTTAAATTGAAATATCATTAAATTAATAATATGATTATTGCATCACATGTGCTCATATGACCCAGTTTAATCATATTTTTGACATACAGTATATGAAATCACAATTGTATGGGCCACTATTCACGTTATGTAGTTTGTTTATTTGTTTTATGGATGTTTAGTACATATTGCACTGTTAGATGATGCTGTATCGTGTGTGAGATCTGAAGTTGGTTCGTTAGTCATTTGGGATTAAGCATGGGTGTGTACATTCAAACCAGCTGTCTGCGTCAGTCTAAACATGGACGAGTCTAACGTTCATTTTAGTGTGCGTGTGTTTGTTTTATTATTTGTTTTGAATATTTCTATGTACCTTTTTTAATCAGTTTATTTTTTTGTAATTTTAGTACTTCAGCTTATGTTTTTCATCAGTATTTATATTTTATTTGATTTCAGCTTTATTTTAACTATATATTTACAGGTAAATAAATTCCTAATCATTATTTAACAAGTAATAACCCAAAAAAACAAGTAATATTGTTTGTTATTTCACAGACTTGGCCATCAAAATTTAGCATCAGAACATTCCATTTTTATGAAAGATATCTTAATAAACGTATATTTATGCTGTGCATAGTGTAAGAGTGATTCATATCTGATGTTTTCCATGATTACTGTAAAGCTGCTGGTGTAAATGTGTTTTACCTTTGAAAAAACTGCTGTTTTATGACTGTACTGTTGGATCAGCAATATTGTGTGTTGAGCCTGAAAAAGAAACAGAGGTGTAAATATGAGCCAAACGAAAAGAAACAAACAGACAGATGTAAGAAATAGAGTCTGTTTACATACGCACACATCACATTAGATTCAAGCACAGACACAAACCCACAGGTGCATTGACCACAGTAATAACTAATAAGCACCAGTCCATTTCTGTAAACTCATCATTACTGTAAGCAGCAGGAGAGACCATCAAGGACAAGAACAACATCATTTTTACAACAACACAAAATTTTATGAAACTTGATTTGTAGCTTAGTACTCCCAAAGAAAGCCATGTTAAAGTTCAGATGTTTCAGAATAATGTGGGTCGTTCATTTTTCCTGTGAGGCAGCAGTTTGATAGCAGGCGAGAACTGAATGCTGGGAACTCTTTGGGTGGTGAAGCTGGTCCAAAATGCAAGAGGCGAAGCTTTAACTCCACCACACAAACCACACGCCCATGTGACTTCTACTAACAAAGATATGGGGAAACATGTTACACAATCTGGTCTCTATTGGTCAAGTTTATTATATGTTTAGCACTGGTTTTTGTTCCTGTAAGATTTCAATTGCTGTCAGTAGAGAAGGACAGATATTTTAGTCAAAGTTCACGTCTGCAGTCTGCAGGTCATGTGAAGAGATTGTAAATCAATTGGCTGATTCACTTATGCTGATTTGATTTGGCTCTGCATCACATTGGGTCTAGAGTTTATGCCTGCATCATATTTCAGCCTGCAACTGATGTCAGATGTCACAGATAACGTGATGTTTGACTAGGTTAAACATGCTATTATACAGGAACACATGCTGTTATGTGCAAATGTGTGTTCAGTCCAATTTAATTCACATTTATTTGTAAAGCGCTTCTCACAATACATTTCAAAGTTCATTTGTTTCAAAATAGCTTCACTGAAAACAAATGTTTCTTCATTACATATAAGAGTGATATGTTATCATTGGTGACCGTATCACATAATGTCATGCAGTTTCCCAGCTAATAAAATGTTGTAAGATCATTTTGTTAACATTCTCTTTAAGTTATGAAAACGTTATTTCTGAAAGTTATCTGAATGTTCAAAACATTCCGTTTTTTAATAATTAACTTGGTTATGCAAGCGTGAAGGGAACATTCAATTTTATAATTTTGCGAACATTGTGAGAATGTTTCTTTTAAATGTTCTGTGAACGTTTTGAAACAAGTAATAGCACTTAAAAATGTTACAAGAACATCTAAATATAATGTTTCAGAAAAAAAGTTCCATGAAAGCTGTATGTTTTTGTGCTAATGTTTCAAGAACATTACATTCAGTTTTTGAGAACTGAACAAATGTTCTATTAACGTTACTGGAAGAATATTTTAAGAACTTGCCAGAATTTTAACCAAAGTTTTGAAAATGTTCCCTGTTAGCTGGGTAGTTGATGTCACGTATTCATTTAAGCAGAAACAATGAACAAGTTAAAGCAATGATTACATGATGTGAAAGCTTCGGCAGTTTTTATGTTATAATAATAAAAATAATAATAATGAAGCATCAGTGCAAAACATGTTCTAGTTTCTTTTTGCTTGTGCACTTCGGTAAATTTGCTGTTGGACTGCTAAGTTTACCCTCCGAATGGGTTGGAGCCAAATTCCAGCTGATCCTTGAGTGCTAAAATTCAGTAAGACCTGTAAAATGTGGCTATTTTAGCATTTAATAACTGATTTGTTTGTCGAACCTCAAGAATTGCATTAATTGTGTAGGCTTAGAATGACATTTGCTTAAAAGGAGTTTGCAAGAAGAATTTGGCAACTATTGCTCCAGTAATGCAGCTTGGGAAAATATGTCATTCTTTGCTGGACTGGAATGCTAGAAGAATTCACTTTGGCTTTTAACTGTCACATGACCTAAAGGAACCTATAAGTACCCTACTATGTAGGTTAGGCCCTTTGACCTAATTGAGGACCACGATCTGTGACCATAATTCACTTTTAGTTCACGCAGCTTTAAAGAAGACAAACCCTCTTAGCAGAATAAGCTAAGAGCAAATCCCGTCTCTTTCTTCAGATCTTCATTGCTAGGTCAGAGGTAACTTATCCAGTATACCTTCACATATCTTTGATCCAAAACCCTTTCTGGAACGTACTACTGTTTTCCAAACGTTGCTACGTAATCGCAGTGCATAAATGCATGCATATATGAGTTCTCAGGCCCTAAAAGAGTGTTTTTAATTAAACTAGCCTACGTTTGTAAATGAAACCATGGAGCCCCTAAAACTTAAGACCCTTTGACAGAACACCAGAGAGCAGTTGCTGTGGCTACTTCTATATCAAACAGTAATAAAGTACCTTTTCATGGAAAAGCACACCCAGCCTGTCTGCATGTGAATAAGTGCTTGCTAATTGCTCCCAGCCGTCACCACATTCAGAAGGACTGGATTAGCCGACAGGATCAGCTGGATGTAAAAGTGGAAAGCTCAGCAACGGGTCGGATTGCACATTGCGGTATTTACAAACCTTTGGGACTGATAACAAACCTGTTCCTTAAAACCAGTAGTGGATTGTTCTGACTATAAAATTTGCATGAGCCAAGATATAATAATACATATATAATTTTAACCAGTGACACAGGCTTTAAAAAGTCAAAATTTTAAAGTTGTATTCTTTGTATTCTTCAAAATTTTGACTTGTTGTATTCAAGTCAAATTTGTTCTCACAATCCATCTGGCCTTATCTTCATCCTTCCACTCGCTTTTCATTCAATCATGGACCCATTGTAGGTTCAGTCAAGAGAGTTTGAATCAAGCTGTTGTTTATAGAGGACACGTCCATCTTAGCCCAATGTTTATGTTTAGATAAAACTATTTAAACC